CGCCGCAGCCCTTCAATTATATGCAAGACATATCTGATTTTCAGATTTTTAGGCGTTGATTTTGATTTTATTATTAGGAGCATGCAATTTTATTTTATATTACCAAGTTTTCAGACTAATATATTCTTTTTGAAAGAATTAACCTTGACGAAACCTATCTTCTATCAAACGGGAATATTACCACTAAATGTTTGAATTTGTTTTCAATATTTCAGTAATTTTCCGAAGTTATATGTGTGTTTCAATTATGATCATACATGCAAATAATTTGAGAGAAGAATTCAGTAATTTTTCCATCAATTTACACAAAACTAATAAATTACATCCAATCATAATTAATATTTCTACATATGAATACTTATGGGGGGCGCATAACACAAACCAAATATCTAGTAAAATTAAAATAAAAGTAATGATATGAATGAATGCAAAAACATAGACACATATATATGACAATTTCTAGTTTCTTATTTTACGAACCTCTTTTTGGTGGGAAAGGAATGAAGAGTTTGCTTGGGATATCGTCATGCACTATAATAGAAGTTTTACAATATAGCAATATATTGGAAGTATTATTATATTAACAATTAAACCAAAAATATACATAACATATGAGCTGTTCTCTCAACTAAACCTCAATCACTCCTTTTAATTTAAATTTAACTATCTGAAAGCTAATCATCCACACTGTCATTTCCGTTGGTTAAGTTTGCCCTTATAAGGTGATTTGAAAGTCTCTCTTATTAAGCAGAGAAGTGTGAAAGGGTTACATCATACGGTCGTTGTCGTTTGCCATTGTCACAACTCACGAGGATTATAAAATCTTCGCCGACAAAAATGAAAAGGAGAAACAGAAGAGGCTGTACACTTGCACGTTTCTTATAGTATAAACAGAACTTTCCTTAAATCTAGGCCCTATTATGTTCTTAGGGTTCCCATTTTTTTTATCAAATTTGAATAAATGAATAGTATAAGCTATTTGACGGCGCATTTGGTTTCGATGTTCTAAAGAATAATACTCGCGCGATACCATAGGTACATAGCAACTAAAATGAAAATAATGCTGAAGAATCGGAAAGCAAGATATCATAGTCATTTTAGGAACTTGAAAAGTTAATTAGTGATTAAAGATTTAGACCAAAATATAGATTCACATTAGAGGATACAACACCAATTATATTTAGGAATGACTAACGAAAAGATGCACATCCACTAAAATTTTATGAAAGTGCACACCATTTAATCACTTTCTACTACGATGTTGATGGAAGATTTATCAGTTTTTTGTGTTAACAAGAATTTTAGTAATTAAGACAAGAAGAAAGGAACTTGTTAGAAAGTATAGTACATTTTAGATTAAGAGGATGAAGTCAATGGGGGAGAGAGTGAGGGCCCAATGAGAAGTGACCTTAATTGTATATCATCTTAATTGGCCCGTTTAGCATTAATCCTACATCAAGGGAACATTAGCACATGCATGCACTTGCACTAAGGTCCCTTTTCATTATTTTCCGTTTTAATTTTTTTTTCTTAAAAGCTTATTTCATTGATAAATAAAGCATTGCTTTCTAATATCTCATATTACAACATGGATTTATCATAAAAGAATATTTAAAGGGTTAATTAATTTGCGAGTTATTCAAGACTTCAATTTCAAGTTGATGTTGCAATACTGATTTGGCTTGATATCCATAAGCTTTTCCAATCGTTATCGCTTAGGATTTAGTGAAAATTTTTGAGTTGAGCTATATAAGTCGTATATTTTGATGATATAAC